GGGTGGGGCTAAACAGGCAGTGATGTAGAATCGGTGGGCGGTGTTAAACAGGCAGTGATGTAGAAGCAGGTGTTGATCTCCTTCTGTGGAGGCGGTGCTTATCCACACTATTTCATCTGTAGTGGACAGCACCAGTGTTGCCAATTTAAGCTGGCTGCACACTAGACGATTTTCAAATCTTAAAAGATTTTAAAACCATGGGAGACCACAGACATGAAGACAGTTCAACCGATTTTTAGCCTTATAATCCTCTGAATGCGCACACTAGATGATTAAACCAGACCACGAGACCACACACTTGATGATTGTAGGAACGATTTCACAGTGACACGAGATCTCACGGACACTCGCGAGATCAAACGTGACTAGAGTGACAAACGTGACAAATAAACACCCTGTGCAGACTCCCGATCGTATTTCACATCACTGAAATGGATGACGAGAATCTGTGTCAGAATCTGAATCTTTAACTAAAGTCACGGCTGAGAAAATGACACTCGATGTTGAGGGCATAGCATCTCCTTCATCAGCTTTCTCCTCCTGTGCATCGGTCTCCACTTCTCTGCTCTTGTCGGGGGGTTTTATGTTCCAGATGTCTTGAACCTTTTCCGGAAAACATCCAGAAACTAATTGCCTTGTCAGGGCAAAAAGATTCAACTGATTCCCCATTTATGGAGAGTTGCATGCAGTCATTCTGTGTTTCAGGCTGTAGAGAGGTACGATGTGTTGTCTTCACTCGGTTCATGCAAGAAAATCCTCTCTCACAGATGGCTGTCGATGAACTAAGTGTCAGCATTAATTTCACCAGCAACAAGATATGAGAGAGGTGTTCTGGATTCTCAGAAAGGAGATCTCTGTACAAGCAATCTACCTTGTTACCCCGGTGTTCTGCAAGCCACATTTTTAGATCCATCCATTCTTGTGGAATTTTCTCCTTCTCTTTCTCATCTAGCAAACTGGCAAAATGTGGGACAAGATAATCCACCTCTTGCCCATGTACTTGACTGTGTTGTCAATAATCTTCTGAATCTCTGCACCAAGGGTGTCTTTGTCTGTGCCCTCACCTCTTCTAGCAGTTCGCAGACTTTTTGTGAGCTGAGTTCCACAGTACCAAATGGTGCCATCCTCGTTCACTGTGAACTTTGTGTCCAAGGTTTTCTGGTATTCTCCTGGTTTTGTTTTCAGGCTGAGTAAGTGTGATGTGGTGCTCCCAACTGACTGATTTGTCCGCGTGATGTTTAAGTTGTCATGCTGAAAATCAGTACTGCAATTGGATAAGATGGTACTGTAGTCCAACATGAAATGCAGAAAGCGAACAAATTTGTCATTCTTCATCTCCTGCACCACCCCCTTTGCTTTGGCTGCATCCTCTGACTTGATATCACTTCCTCCTGCCATGTTCTCCATATGAACAACAGTGGGAGTGTATTTGTTTTCCACAGCCTTTAGACATCTTAGCCTGCTTGGAAGCCACCGTGTGCTCTTCAGGCCACTGAAATGTGCCACTTTCTCATTTAGCAGTTCACTTATTTCCGTCAGTTCTCTTCGCTTCTTTGGGGAATAGTAGTACGTCTTAAAGATGGTTTTCAGTGCATCTTCAAATTTCACCAGGTCTAGGGCTGTCAACATTTTTTTAATTTCGAATATTCGTCAAATAAAAAAAATTCACATTCGAATGCAAAAACATTGCATTTGAATTTTAGGTCTGCGTCAGCCGTCAGGCAGCCTTATCATTGGCGCACGAAATGCGACAACGATGTAAGTGTCATTGCATTTGTTAGCCTATCCAGTTGAACCCACTAGATGCGGCGCTGATACGTTGTTCATTCATATATTGCGGAAAACGAGTGCATCAGTGTGGAGAAGATGTTGTTTACGTCAAAACTGAAACCAAGCCGTTCACACAGAATGCATATGTATCACATTTTCTAGAGGGACATCTATCAGCGTTGCACTCGCGCCTCGCACAAGAGAGCCGCATGTTTAGAAAGCCATGTAAAATTAAGCAAGTTCAGCTTTTAAAAAAACATGTCTCAAGACTTTTTGGTGGTTTTCCCCCATCCCACTGTATCTCATGTTTTTAAATGAAGAAAGTAGCCTACTTTTGTGATTGGTTTTCGGTCCTTTGTATTAAACTATACATCCATGCATGGTGCTGTTTTTTTTCTAATTGCTTAAGCAACTTTATTAATTATATATGGTTTATAAACATTATTTTAAACATTATGCAATTTTTCAAAGATAGTCGTGTTATTTTATTACACTTTGAAGAAACGTCCATAATATTTTGCTCGATGCGCCCTCTTGTGGCCTCAGGAGAGAAGCCAAAGTTTTTTTCCCCTAACTGAAATTATGCCTTTTAAATTGGAATATAATTCGAATTTTGATCATATTTAAGTAGAAAATTTGAATTTAGTTTTTCAGTCATTTTGACAGCCCTAACTCACAGCCTTTCACACTATCCAGCACGGCTAGCTCTAATTTGTGTGCCACACAGTGGATTGTTATGATGTGGGGTATCCTCTGTTTCAGTCTCCCAGCTACTCCTGTTTTCTCACCCATCATCACTGCAGCACCATCAGAATTTGCACACACTACTTTCTTTTTCCATGTGTCTTCTTTAATAACCATGATGTTCACTGCCTCATCAATAGACTCTAAAATACCTGCAGCATTTGCACTCTTTGACGTGCTGACATTTATGTGGATATGTCACCATTATCTCTCACATACTTGACATGAACCAACTCCTGTTCTATTACACTAGCGTCTGTACTGCCATCTGCAAGAATGGATGAGAACCTACTTTCTTGAATTTCCTTTTCGAACTGGTCCCTTGAGGTTTGTGCTATTGCTTCAATAAACTCTCTGCAAGCGTGGTCATTGAGGTAAGTGGAACCAAGGTCTAGGCCATTTGCTTTTTGAAGTTTGCAAAGACTGCTAAATTTTGGCAATGGTTATTCACTTTTTACAACATAGTATGCTGTTCTGAACAGTTTTTTCAGGACTTCTTATTGTGCTTGATTTATTTTTAGTATGTTTTTTGCAATTGGCGTTTGTTCTGGGAAAGATGCTGCAGACTGAGCACCGATGCATTTCTTGTGATGCAGGGATTTCTCAAGGGGTCTTTCCTAAAAATTACTGGTCCCAGTAACAAACGTGCTTGTCGAGTCAGAAATCGAGGGAAACTCACGACACACCCGGCAGAACACTGTGTTATTTAGCTTGTCATGTTCCAGCCACAGAAATTATTTTGTCCATGAAACCAAAAAGCTGCGCTTTATTTTTGCCTCATAGTCTGATTTTTCAGAACTTTTCCGCTTTGTGGTAGTCTGCTTTTCTTTGGCTGTCCCTTCTTCACCCTGACCTGTCTTATTTGGCTCAGCAGAACTAAAATACCTGCGTAAATCCATGCGCCTCTTATTTTCACACACATAACAGTCAGTGGTTTTCGAACTTCTCTCCACTGCACAATCAATCTCTATCACGTTTAAGCATCCTGTGGGAGATTTCACTTGTCACGTGAGGATAGTAGGCTAATGACTGACTGGACGATGTCGAAGGAATTGGTGCGCAACAAAAACCGTCACTGACCAACCCTGCCGCTCCC